AACCTACTCAGTCCCTCAAGCCGGCGTTTATTACTATTAGCGGTACCGGTAAGAGTCCGGTGGACATTATCAATGCCCTGCCTTCCCCCACAGAAATAGGTGTTAAGGCTGAAATTGTTCGAGCAACCAAAGGTGGTTCCGTTTTAGTCCGATTAGAAGACAGTACCCATGCCACTAAAATAATTGGTTGGCAGGGATTACGGGAGAAAGGTTTTCAGGCAAAACTAGCACAAAGAAAGAAACCTAAGATTGAGGTGAGGGGTGTCCCTCACTCATGGGGCTCAGCTGAATTAACGAGATTTTTGTGGGGAAGAATAAACGAGAAGTCAGTCCCTACTACACTCATTAATGATGATATACGGCCATTATTATCCTCAGTATCTAGGAATGGACTAAGTAGGAACTGGGTACTCGAAGTTCACCCAATGGTGAGGTTCCAGCTGTTGGAAATGGCAGCTTTAGATGGAGGATGGTGGTCCATGACGTTTAAGGATTACCTCGACGCCCCTCGTTGCACAAAGTGCCAAGGCTATGGACACACGAAGGCTACCTGTACGGTGGATACCGTTGTATGCATATGGTGTGCAGCCAATGGACACATACTCAAGGACTGTCCAAGGAAGAAGGAACAAACTGGCCCGACTTGTATTAACTGTGTGCGGGCGAGTGCACCGCAAAGCCAAACGAAGCATAAAGCGGGCAGCCGAGAGTGCCCTGTACACTTAAGATGGTCAAATGAGGTGGCTAAGAGGACCTACTATGAATAATATCACCATTCTCCAGCTCAACATGGGCCGTCGTCGCATTGTAGCGGATGAGTTGAGGGCTCTTGTTGGACGATATGATGTTATGGCGATTCAAGAACCGAGCTGCCGTGGGAACATGGTCACGGGGTTTGGCCTCACATCGAGGGTTATAGCCCTGAGCAGTGGAGAGAGGAGGCCCAGGGCAGCTATAGTGGTAAATAACCCAAACCTCGATGTGATGGATCTGAGGCAGTTTACCACGGCGGATTGTGTCGCATGTTATATCAAATGGGGTAATATTACCTTTACGTTGGTTTCATCATATTTTCCTGACGGAGGTGATATAGACAACGACATATCCGCCATGGAGATGATCACGGCTTGCTATAGAAACATCATCATCTGCTCAGATACCAACTCCTGGAACACGGTCTGGGGATCCAATCAAACGAATAGAAGAGGCGTTAAACTCGGAGAATTCATTGGCCGAAGGCAGCTAGTGGTAATGAATGATCCCTCTGCCTTGCCAACGTTTTCTAGCGCTCGAGGGCAGAGCTGGATTGATGTAACACTGGCATCACCGGTGCTAGCGAGTCGCATCAACGATTGGATCCTCCGATCTGAGACGAGTTCCGACCACCAAGCGATAGCTTTTAAGCTGGTGGAAAATATGGAACGTTCCCACGGCATCGCTATGGGTTATTTAACCCGAAGGGCAAATTGGAAAGCCTTCCGGTCAACGCTGGAGGAAAAATTAGTAGATGAAGAATGGGATGAAGCGGAGACGGACCAGACAGATAGTCTAGATTATAGGGTCTCTAGGATCACAGATGTCATCCGTGACGCCGCTGAGGAATCCCTCCAGCAACGGAAGGTGAGAGCTCGACCTATCCCATGGTGGACGCCGGCCTTAACTGCTATGAAGAGAGAGCTCTACAAGGCCCGGCGGTCCTATCAAAAGTGTGGTAGTGAGGAGAGGCGCGCCACACTTCGCGACGAGTATAGGTCCAAGTCCAGAACATACCGAAACGAAGTGCGCTCTCGAAAAAGGAAGTCTTGGGACGAGTTCATTATTGAAGAATCGTCCAAAAACCCCTGGGGTATCCCTTACAGAGTTGCCTTGGGTAAGTTAAATCCACAACAGGTAATAGCCGCATTGAAACGCGGAGCTACTCAGGCAACCACTCTGGAGGAGACGGCAAAAACGTTCATTGCGGAAACCTACCCCAGGGATGATCCGTCCCAAGATAATGAAGAGGAGAGATACATTAGACGCACTACGGTATGCCCACCAGGTACGGACCTATGCCCACCATGGGACATATGGGATCTCCGTGCTGCCGTGGATAGGCAAAGGACTGGTCGAGCTCCTGGCTTGGATTCGATAGACACAGCAATACTAAGGAATAGTATCCCCTACATTGAACAAAGGCTGTTAGCATTGTTCAATGATTGCCTAGACAGGGGTTACTTCCCTAAAATATGGAAGATTGCTGATGTTAGACTCCTTTATAAGGGAGGAGATAAGGACAAGCAGTTAGCGAAGTCATATAGGCCTATATGTCTCCTTCCTATAATGAGTAAATTGTTGGAGACCTTGCTGATGAGGAGTCTACGACCAGTCTTCTTAAGAGCTAGCCATCCACGACAGTACGGATGCACTAAAGGTAGGGGAACCGCAGATGCTCTGCTCAGAGTGCGCCGTGACGTTGAAGAGAAGGCGGAGAAGTATGTAATGCTTCTCCTGTTTGATATATCCTCCGCCTTCGATAGCGTTTGGTGGCCGAGTGTACTCCAGCAGTTGCAAAAGTATGAAGCTCCCAGCAACCTGTACGACCTCTTAAGAAGCTATCTAGAAGACCGTAAATTAATGATAAAAGGTAACTTCTTTGCTGTAGAGGATTCTGTAGAAAGAGGATGCCCACAAGGGTCTGTACTAGGTCCAGCCTTGTGGAAACTGGTATTTGACGAGCTGCTGGGAGTACTGGAAGAGCAGCGGTTCCCCGCCACTGCTTACGTAGACGATCTCGCAGTCGTGGTGGCATCGAACAGCAGAGCCAGATTAAAGGAAGAGGCTGAACGGTGCGCCAACCTTGTAGGAGAATGGTGCGAGAGAAAGAAGATGAAGATGGCGGCTTCAAAGACTCAGTCCGTTCTTTTGAGGGGTAAGACTGACAGGGCCCACCCTATCACTCTGAATATACAGAGAGAAACGATACGTCCAAGTGAGGCGGTCACCTATCTTGGGATAAGGACTGGAAGAAAGTTTAACTTCACCCCTCACTTGGACTATCTGAGAAGTAGAGTGGCCCTGGCTCTTAATGGACTGAGTCGCATCGGGGGCGCCTTTTGGGGTCTCAGATACCCAGCCACTTTGGCTATTTATAACGGAGTTATCTTGGGTATCCTGAGATATGCGTCCCCTGCGTGGAGTCAGACTCTCTCGCACCTACAGAAGAAAAGGTTGGCGACGATCCAGCGTATGGCTCTGCTGCGTGTCACTAGGGCGTACCGGTCAGTATCTCATGAGGCGGTACAAGTCTTAGCCGGAAGTATTCCAATCGATCTTCAACTTCGTGAAGACTACTTTCGGCACGAAATGAAGAGAGATGGCTTGGTGGATCTACCGGCTAATCTCCGAGTGAGGATCAGTGAAGATCCAAGCAGATGGAAGAGGATTCTCCGGGAATGCACATTAGAAGAATGGAACCGGCGTTGGATGACAACGCCAAAAGGATCAACCCTAAGGAAATACTTCCCCACCGTCGGTTCAAGAATGGAAACTACATGGCTCCTCCCGGACTATTGGGTCTCGCAATTCCTCACGGGGCATGGGGGATTCCGAGCAAAGCTTGTTCAACATGGTAAGAACATTGATCCCCTATGCCCAAGTTGTAGGGTACCGGAGACCGCCGAGCACGTCTTATTAGCCTGTACCGCCTATGAGGCATTGAGGGCTAAGTTGCTGAGGGAGACTGGGCTCTATGTCTTATCAGAGCGCGATCTACCTCAGCTAGTGACCAGAGAGAACTACCCGCACTACAAGGCCTTTGTGTACGGGTGGAAAGACATCATTGGCCCAGCCCACTTCTATTTGGGTAGAAGAGAAGAAGCTCCACCACAGAGGATGGAAGAGCCAAGCTAAACAGAAAATCTTATTGTATCGATTGCAGTATTGGCTAGTTATGCACACACGTGTAGCTATCCAATACTGCAAACACTCGTATTGCCAAACTGGCAGGGCAGAGATTTAAATAAATAAATAAATAAATAATAAATAATACTATAGAAGAACCAAGAGTGACTTTTTAGTGATTAAAAATGTTTTTTATCTGATGAAGTTTTTAATAGCTTTTTTAATCCAAAACTTGTTGGTTAATTCTATTTTTATCTCGGTACTGTTATGTAAGACCACTAATAATAATTTTAAATTTAAGAATATAAACCCTTATTGTCAGTCTCAACTGACAAAAACAGCTCAACTAACAAAGCCCAACTCTAAGCTATAAAAAATCGATCATATTGATATTTTTTTTCTAATCGTCGAGTATTAGCAAGCAATGATAATGAGTAGAAAATGTTAACAATTAATTATTGTAAATAAAGTTTTAGAGAAGTATTGTAATAATAAGAAAACATGCAATCAAATATTTTTTTTTTTTTATTAATAGTTTCCTTTTGCATTGTAATAACGAATGTTGTATTTTGTTGGCCTAGTTTTTGATAATACAGAATATATGGTTCAGGTGTAAGTGATTTACAGAAGATTTTAATATGTTAATAATATAATCATTTTTTAAATTTCATTTTCTGTTTTATTTTTTATTTTCAAATGCATGAATAAATATTAGTGAAAAAAATAATCTCAGTTTACTTTATGGTAGCATATATTTTTTATAATTTTAAAAATAAATAGTTTTTTATGTAATAGTAAAAATAAATTAACATACATAATTTTAAGGAAATATTTGATGATTATGTATTAAAGCATTGACCATTTTTAGCGTGATATACAAGTAATAATAAGAACAAGTTCCTAATTTCAGTGCTAATTCCATCGATAGAATCCATCAATCGAATGATTCCAAAAGTTAACAGATTATGCAATATCTCAAAAAATAAATGGAACCACTAAGCCATTTGTGATTCAATCTATGAATAAAAATACGGTCTGATATAGTTACAATGTTGAGATAAAGAACTTGCTCTAAATAAATCTTGCTACGCTTTATATGTGATTCTGAACCCTTCAAATCCCATTCACTTACAAGTTTTATTCACTCATCACAACTTTAAATTTTATTCTTCAGTACTCATCTGTTTTTAAATAAATAGGCACATTCTTCTTTGATGTACTGATCTCTTCCTCAACTTCATAAATACATCACTTCAAGTTTTCTTCCGTTGAACATAAAAGCCTAAATTATAGTCATTTTTTTAAAAGAATACAAAGAGAAAAAGAACAAAATTTAGATGATTTTTTTTCGTAAATGCTTTTAAACCACGGTGAAAATAGTCAAAGGCTAATGGGGGAGTGTAAAATCTTCTTTTAATATAAATGTCCTTGGAAATGTGTTTATATACAGCATGGTTCTTTTTCACTTTTTTTCCGCGATTTTTCAATTTTTATTACATCAGGAGCTGGTTCGACTGGAGGTTTAATATTCTCTAGAGCAGCACCAATCAAGCATACTATCGCTTCACCTAAAAAAAAAAACATCTTATTAATCTGGAATCGAAGAATTATTATATCATTTTATAATTCATGTAATCGGATGAACGCTAATTATATTTTAATCATAGTCAATTAAAATATTTTCAGATTAATTCAGTAAATATAGATCATAAAAAGAGTGGGTAAAACTATTGTAATGTCATGTCTGTTGACAGTTGTTACAAGATCACTTCCATCATGCTGTGTATGAAATGCCAAGTGCGTTCGAATTTAAATGGAGTTCTCCAATCTCCAAACCTCATAAATATCAGCATGAATAGATATATCCATACCACTTAATTTAGATTACACATACAGTATCAGAATAAACACAATTTTTATGTTTCCAGCCAATGATACCTCGAAACCGTCCCTCCCATACTATTCATAATTAAAAAATAAATAAACATAAGGCTTTGAATTAAATAAAAAATAATAGAAAATTTAATTCGAGAAAATAAATGAAAACTTAAAAAGAGTAACGAAAAGCAAAAAAAGAAAAGACCAACTTTAATAATGCAACAATAAAAATTAATTAATAAAATAATGAAGATTAAAGAAAAATTGAATAAAAAGTTGTATAATTTTAATTTATGTACAAAATATAAAAGTTAAAAAATGTGATTAAATAGTAATAAGACCTATTTGGACTTACGGAGTTGAGCTATGGGGCTCCACTAAACCATCAAATTCCTCTCGCATCCTATCTTTACAATCCAAAATCCTTCATAAAATCCTCAATGCTCCCTACTCTGTTACAAATAAAATCATCCGCAATGACCTTAATGTTCCTTATGTATCAGATTTTGTCCAATCCAGAGATCTATCCTTCCATAATAAACTTCATAACCATCCCAACCCTCTTGTTTATAACCTTGCTTCCTCTTTGATTCCTGATAACCCTCCTAGGTGTCTGAAAAGAAGATGGCCTCGTGATCTCCTCATGTGATTAAATAGTTATAGTAATTGTAATTAAAAATCCTGTCAACTCATTAGTATTATCCACTTTTATTTAATTAACTACAATATTTATATATTAATATATTTTTTTTTTAGATTCCTTTTTATAATCAAATTCTTGCATTAAAGAGTATGTTTATCTCCAGACCAATGTAATTAGTGCGATTTTTTTAGTTCTTTTTGATGTTGGAGCATGATCTAACCTAACATGTCAAAAGATGGACGCACTAGGTTAGCTTTGGCATTTCATCTACAGTGTGATCATTTAATCTTGCTCCATCTGTCATCCAGACATAACGCTACTATAGTTTTACCCGATATTGAATGGACTTACTGATATTAGTATTGTATCTGGCAGATGATGGAAACCAGTTTAAAATATTATTCTCTTTGCAGAACTTTGTTATGGATGTTGTTGTGACACCATGTTCTTCTATGTCCCACTTATTGGCAAGAAGTACTACAGGAATGTCTCTGCCATTGTCGAGGACAACTTTTTCTCGTAAATCCTGAAGCCACTGCAACATATTTTATTATTAGATTAACAAATAAATTGTGTGTAATTATAGATCTCAATCATCTATTTGTATATTTTGTTATGTATGTATAGTATTAAAACCATTGTTTAAAAATTGTGCGATTCTTTCATCAGCATCCATTTTAATTATCATTCAAAGAGATAAACTAAATTAAATTAAGTAGCTACTGTTTTTATATAGTTAATAAGTTTTGGTAAGTATTTATCATTATAAGATATACCCCATCTTCTTTTTGGGTAACAATTACTTACAATAAATTATAATTAGGATTGCAACTAGCATTTCTGCTAACCCTTCCAATAAAAATTAACAGTTTAATAACAGTATCTTAGGTTATATATTTCAAAATAAATATCATCATGACTGGAGACCGGATTTCCATGTTATTGCACATTTTATTCACTTTTGTGTAAGAACTCCGGACCCGAATATCTATCTGTTTCAGGACCTGTGGAATAACATTTTTAAATTGTTTATTGCATGTTATGCCATTTTGGCTTAAATTGCGCCATTTTGATTTTTGTTGCATTTTGTACTATATTAAATTATTTAAAAATATAAATATATATGTGTGTGTGTAAATATTTACTTTTTTATTTATCTATCTTATCCAGATTAAATTTATAATTTAAGAAAGAAAAATATGAGGAAGGTAAATGATTCTATAACTTGTAAAGATTTGAATTCAACGTTAAAAAAGGTCGAAATAAACGCAAGTGCGGACAGACTATTCGTGGAATAGAACTTGCTTGAAATAATTCAATAAAAAAGAATGCCTTCTTTCTTTTGACTTGAATTCTCACTCTTTCTTAAGTCCTTCAGTATCCCTTCTGGCTTTGAAGTGAATCGTAGGTTATCATGAATTCGGCATCAATAATATCCGATTTGACATTCATAAAATCATATTTGTCAAATTTTCCGCAAACATTTAGATAACATGTGACGCAATATTTTAATTCTGAAGCTTAACACAAGGTTTTATACGGTTTTGATGCATAACTATTATAAATTAAACAAAATTGATTATTTTTTCATTTTTGTTATGTGTAAATTAGATAATTTTACATATTTTGGGTTTTTATTGCACAATTTTGATCGTTTTTCAGATTTTTACTGCACGAAGATCCGGTCTTTAGTCATGACATTTACTCTTTTGTTTTATTTTTATCGATTGAGTGGCTTCATATCAAAGATGGACATCTGTCATTTTTAGAAAGTAGAGAAAAAGCCATTTTTTGTTTTCTAAGTACAATTCAAACTGTTTCTTATGATTTTATTTAAGAATATTCAAGTTGAATCATTAAACAAAATTATTAGAATTAGTTTAAATTGAAGATACAAAAATTGGTTTAAGTAAACATAACCCTATCGGTCTTGCTGAAAATTGTGGTTGGGGATTTAATTTTCAACCCTATTTTCAGTAATAATATTATTTGGCTATAATTTTATAACATTTCTTTCTCTTCCGTATATATTATTTATCAGTTCTATGTTTCACGCTCTTTGCCCGTCTTCAGAGACATTTGTTTAACTTCTCAATGTTATTCTTCTAATACATGTTAAGAAAAAATTGTCTATCTTTCTTTATTTCATTTAAATAATTATAATTAAGTAATAATAATAATTGAGAACTCTTAAATAACCAGCAATGTGATAGTGAAAATTTACCAAGTGATGTATAAAATTATTTAAATGAGATAAGAAAAAAAAGACAAATGTTTCATAATATGCCTTGGAAAAATATAAGATAGAAGCATAACATTGAGAAGTGTAAGAAATGTCTCTGAAGATGGGCATAGAGCCCAAAACATAAGACAAATAAATAAATAACATATATGGATGAGAAAAAATTTCATATAATTATACCTAAATTACCATCAAACTCTTCCTTAAGTAATAATTGAATATCAGATAATATAAGAAAAAGGAAAAATATTATAATTTGTTTTTCCTAATAAAAAGGTACCAGAAAAATAGCAATGAACTGTGTTTTTAATCATTAGTTGATTGGATATGTATGTAAATGCTTATATATATATATGTGTGTGTATGTTTGTGAGGTTATCCAGATACAAATACATTTCATTTATTTCCTTACAAAATTAATTTTTCACCAGAATTCTAAATTGTTTTTGACAAGAAATCCAATTCTAAATTTTTTCTTGATGATGTTTCTTGAGACGGAGCTATAAGAGCTTTGTTTTTCACTAACAAATTATTTTTTTCTGATAAAAATAAATTTTGTAATTGAAAAAAATGGATATGGGTTTTTATCTGGAGATGCTCATAGATTTTAATAATTTTTATCTCTATTCTTTATATTGTTAATAACTCAGTAAAATTTCTTTCTTTACTAATCTTAATTTATAATTATTCATCTGAGAACTCTTTATCTCATTATTAAATTAAAATAAATAATAAAAAAAAACTATAAAGGAAAAAATAATAAAAAGCTATAATTGATGTTTTAAAAAAAAATTTAACTATATTAGAATTTTTGAAAAGTATATGAAATTTTATTGGAGACAAAAATAAAAAATGTATACATGAGAACATAGACATAATTCCATTATGACCCAATAATGCATTACCATCATTGTTGTATGTAAAAACGATAAGTTATGCGAAACTAAAATTACATATTTAAGGTAGGTATACCATATGCCTAAGATTTAACAACAACTTTTCCTTCAAAATTGACTCGATACTTTATGTCTTCGATTTTATAATTATTTGATTAAAATTGTTAAATGTTCTTTAATATTACTCAAATCTTATTCTGTTTGAAATAATCTGACAGAGCTTAAATACCTTATTTCCAAATTTTCTTTTAAACTCCCTTTAATTTTGATTATTAGAAATAGTTAAAGGGCTCTAATTGTTAGCAGTAATACGAAATGATAAATAATTACCTTCTTGGCAGAAATGAATGTGTTATGTCGAGTAGCATCGAAGACTATCGCACACCCAACTCTAAAACAATAATATTACCAATAGAATCTTGAATATTTATTAATGCTTAATATAGTTTGTAAAAATAAATCAGTAACACTTACGCATATTTGTAGTAGGCCCTCGTCATAAAATTGAACCTTTCATGTCCTGCGATATCCCTATAATTAAAGATGAATCAGAATTGTTTTCTACATTAATAACTTGGGATGGGATTTTTATGTTTTTATATATTCCTTTCTATGAATACATAAACATGCATATGCTTCTTAGATAATTTTTTTTTTTTTAATATTAAACTATTTTTATTCTATTTTTCTATTATACATATTTTAAGTTCATAGTTCCCTTATTTGCTGTCGTATGATAGATTTTTTAATAAGAAAATCCAATTTATTGTTAGATGTCAGAAAGCAAATTATTATTAATTATTTCCCAGGAAACCTAAATTATGTTGTGGAAATCAATTTGATTCTTAGCTCTTTTACTTTTTTGGGAATTCAATGATTTCTTCTAAATTAAAATTCCGATTTAACAATTTGACTGCCTACTCTACTTTCTATTTTATAAAACCAATTTAATTTAATGATATTATATTTGTTTAGGCCGTTATCTATATCACCATCTGTTCAGACCATTAATTTCATTTTTTATTTTCTTACACAAAATTATCAATCGTAAATTATGATTACAAGGTATTTTCGTTTTGTTTAATTTACATGAAAACATATATGTATATGAATCGAGAGAACTTTATATAGTTTAATTTGATTGTAAAAAACAATCACCTGTCTTATGGGCTAATGAATGGTACTTCTCATTACGAGCAGGGACTTTAATTTGTTGTTTCTTCGCAAATAATTCATTTTGAAGTTCTTCATCCTTTTTTTTTCTTTAATGTTATTAATTTTTTCTGGAAGAAAATTTCGTTATTATTTATTTATATTTATATATATATACTATATATATATATATATATATAAATAAACAAAAAGAGAAACGGAAGAGTATATTAATTTAATTACAAAAAGATTAAAACTTACAATTAACCTAAACTAAACAAAATTATAATATATATATATCATTATAATGTTTGTATAGTGTATATATCATTATAATTTTGTTTATTTTAGGTTAATTGTAAGTTTTAATCTCTCGATTCGTAATTAAATTAATATATTATTTTGTTTTCTCTTTTCTCTTTCCCATTTTTACCTTATTTATTTTGTTTTAAGGGTTCAAATGACTGGTGCTTATGGGGTTGAGACTATGTTCGTATATTTTACAACATCGCTTTCCCTATCAATTTGATTAAAATCTCTAATTTTTGTACATAGTAATAATAAAAAAAACTGTGGATTTCATCGTAGCTTCAAAAACTATGATAGCTCGTATTTAGCCTCTTAAATAAATAACACCAACTATGAGTTATCTCATTGGTCTGCAATCAACATGTTAAAGAACCCTAAATTAAAGCCTCGTGCAAAAAATTTAGCAACTAAATACCTCTGGGAGTTTGTAGATGAATCGTTTAAGCCTTAATATAGAATTTCATATCGTCTATTACAACCAATATTCTTTAATTTTATAATATATAAAAATAAGGAAATAATTCTGAAAAAAAAACTTCAGCATCTGCTCCAGCAACCCAATCATCGATGATTTGTTTTTGAAAACTTGAAGGTTCGTCTCATTTGACACTTTTTGATGAGGATTATAAATTAATTAATTAATTAATTTTAATTATTAAAACTTCATTTAACAAATTTAAAAGTTAAATATACGGGTAATGACGGAAAATATTGAAATAATGAAAAATTTCGAACCCAAGTTTTCAATAGAAATGCAGGTTTAAAGTTCCCCTGAGTTCATAAATGAATAAGTCTCGTAAAAATGTCTGTGTGTTTGTATTTGTAGCAAAATGAATAATTGCCGTATTGTTGAAGGTAATGAGGACTGACAAAAACTAATAACTGTTTATTGTTGTTGTTAATAATGTCTAAGTACTTTTATATTATTGAATGGGAAATAAATATTTCCCTAAAAACTATATCGAATGTATTTAGAAAATACGCGGAAAACTAATTTTTTTTTTTAATGAGCTTGATAATCCAAAGATATATAGTTTACTGAATAGTCATAATTAGAGACCGGATTTTTGTGCAATGACAAACTGAAAAACGTGCAATATAAAACTCAAAATGTGCAAAATCGTGCAGTAAACACTCAAAAAGTGGAAAATTGTATACCATAACATGCAAAAATTATAGTTTTTTTTTTTTAATTTATAATATTATTGTTTGCTTACTCCTATGTTAAATAGTTATAGCCTATAAATTGAAGTTAAATGTAACTTGTAGTAACCTGAGAAAAGTCTAATTCTAATTTAAATTAAATGACGATTAAATTGTATCTGTATGAAAGAAAATCAGTTTACAAAAAATTAATAATATATTTGTATTAAACCATGCATTTTTTAATTGAGGCTTAATTTTATAGGTGTAGATCAATTTAAATTTTTTTAAAATTAGATTTTGAGTTAATCTCCTTAGCTTTTATTAAAATCCATTGTCTCTCGCGTCACCCGGTGACGTTTTGTCAAGTACATTCAGTCAATCGGCAATAAAACTTTTGTTTACAAATAATTTCAAACTTGTTTGTTTGAAAACTGAAAAATAGATATAAGTGCCTATGCGGATTTGCATTAAATTAAATTATTGAATAAGTTTCCTACAATTATACTATTATTTATGATATAAAATTTGCGTACTTGTATAGTAATTTTATTATCTCTATCAAACAATTAGAGTCTAAAATATCTTTTCATCCTAGAAACATAACTTGAAAATATTATTTTGAAAAAAAAAAAATAAGAACAAAAAATTTATAAACTAATTTCGGCCTTATGCCATACATGTGTTGAACAATAAATTAAAATTTAGCTCTTTAATTTTAAAATATGCAATATCATGCAACGAACACCAAAAAAGTGCAACCAAGCCTGAAAAGGCCAAAACGTGCAAAATGAAATTTCAATATGTTATTCCACAGATCGTGAAACGGATAGATTGTCGGGTTTGAAATTTTTACACCTAAGCGAAAAAAATGTGCAATTACATGAAACATTTTTAAGGTTTACTAAGTTTAAAAAAAAAAATTAATTTCTATTGAAAGTGGTGGTAAGTGAAAGTTGTGTGCATCACGACCAAATTTATTTTCAAATTTTTGAAATTTTTAATACATATTTATATTAAAATAAACACTTATTTATGCCTATATTTTGATTTTTTTTTTACCACATAATCCCATCCCTATTTAAAAAAATTGTAAAAAAATAATATAAAATATAATAAATAAAATAATTCTGACCATAATTGTACGCTTACTCGTGTTGACGGATCCCATAGAATGGTTTTGACTGAAAAATCTGCTCCAATTGTTGTTTTATAGTTGGATGAAAATTTTCCTGGAAAAAAAAAAGTAACATGTCTAAATTATTGAATTATAAATTGCAGAATTTTTTAAATATAGAATGATCATGAAAATTAATTACCTTCAGTGTACATTTTCACCACTGCAGTTTTACCTATTCATAACAATAAAATTACATTATATTAAATTAATTTTTTTCTATAGGTTTTTATTTTTTTGATTTTACACAATTTTACTTACCGACTCCGTAATCTCCAATAACTAAAAATTTAAATATAACATCTTTAATTGGATTTAAACGGCTTTTTCTCGGACTCATCTCCCGCCTTTTGGAATCCATTTCACTTAAGTGTTGTTATGGAACTGAAATATTCTATTTGTTAACCCCTATTGACCTGTGTTGTTATCTGTATTGGCAGTTTATCTATTTTTCTCTTCCTTCTAAAGAAAGGATTCTTATCTGTTCAGGCTGTTGTTTTTCCAGTGAAGTCAACTTGTTTAATTTAAATGTCTAAAGGAATTCCTTTGTGTTTGTTTAAACTCAAAATTATTTTCTCTAGATAAAAGACAAAACATTTAATTGTTGGGTAATTATTTTTATCAGTTTCCAATAATATTTTACGTGACAATAAATAAATAAAAAACTCAACTAAATACATAAATTAGATGTTAGGTTATAATTGGAGCCTTTTGTTTCTAAAATGCAGTTAAATATATAAATAAAATAAAAGATGCATTTTAGACTTAAAGCTGTGTAGTTAGATTTTCCCAATTATAATCTAATATTTTATATTTTAAACTTATTTCTCTGACAAATTAGAATTATATTGTTTGAGGTTATTCTTATGGTTTCTGTTCCCAAATTTGTTCCTGTATTTAATATAAAGCATATTTAAAAAAAAAATAATGTTTTTTTAGTTGTTGAAATAACATAGACCTGGTTTAATTGTCTCAAAGAAAAATAAATGCTCATCCATAAAGTCTATTAGAACTTAATAAAACTTTTAATTTCAATTGCACATAATGTATATTTTACATATCAAATATTTTAAAAAAATGTATTTATTTAATGTAATTATTTACTCATCAGATTCTTGAAGTACTTGTTGTAGATCATGAGTGCCCATCTTTTTACTTTCACTTATTTATATATGAAATATATTGTAAAGGAAAGTATTGGATCATAAAAATTGCCAAATCTTAGTTTTCAACGGAAATACACGTTTTGAGGTCACCTGAGTTCAAATAACAAAGTCCCGCAAAATGGTCTCTGTGTGTTAATAGTCTAGCTCAAAAATGAAAAGTTGTACTGATTGATGTTCTCTATGAGGGCTTAAATGGCTAATTTCCAATATTAGCTTCCTCTAAAGTACCTTTAATTTTTTTTTATTTGAAATAATTGACCATTTTCCATTAATCTCTAATATAAAAGATATTTAAATTTAAAATATGAAATAAATTGATAATTAACTAAAGGAGAAATAAGGGATCGTAACAGAGAATATTTGTAATTGAGGAACCGAAGGAGCCCCCAAGCTCGCCTGAAAGATTAGAACAGGCTTCCATACGTAACATGAGCTTAATGTAATACGGACTCTGACAGCATTATATTAATATACATATGTGGTTTTCATAAATGCTATTGTTGGTATTATTTAATATTTAATTTTATAGATTACAGTGACATAAATATTAAAATTTGTTTACATACTTATACAAATAAAAATGCCCACAGTGAAATATTTTACTTCCACTTCTCCTTTGTTTAAAAATACTTATTTCTGCAAAGAAAAGGGTGGTAAGTGAAAGTTGTGGGATGTGTGCACCACACCAGATTTTTTTCATCATCTTTTATGTTATATTATATCTTCTCACCTTCATAATAATTATTTCTGTATAGGTGCTTGTTTATATTGTAAAAATAGTTAATAACTGTTATTTATACAACAAAAAATTATGTGTACGTGGTACTTCTTTTTTTAAAATTCTTTTATTGAATAATATTACAATTCTGTCCAAATATAGGAAATTAGTAATAATGAGCAAATATATCATTATTTACAGACAATATTAATATAGTAAAATAAAAACAAAAATGAATAAATAAGTAAAGTTAATTGATAAATAAAATAAAATTATAACATAACTTCAATAACCCACAGACAATAGTTACTGAATAAAACAGTAACAATAGAAAACTACTAGAGACCATCCACTTCGCGAAAAACAATAGCATAACAGTAAATTGTTGTATATTACTGACAGAGTTGGGCAAATGCTACTATGAGTACCGGGTACCAAGTATTTTACTCAAATTGAATTAATAATGGGAATTCAATCACTACTTCAGTTAATCTTTTGACATCAACTAATAATTAAATTATTAAATACATAGTAATTAAATTATTTGGTACTCAAAAAAGGTCAGGATTTGAGTAAAATACTTGGTACTCAGTACTCAGAGTAGGACTTGCCCATCTCTGATTACTGACAAGGGAGCACACCAACAAAACAGGTAAATATAATTGTAAACCATAGCCATTTTAACCAGCTGTAACGATATATTTATAACTGTCCTTATATTATAGAAAATAATCGAAACAAAAAAACTACAAAGGAGTACTGATGATGGGAAAGATATTCCCAAAACGTTAACTCGTGACAAATACAATGATTTTATGTCATCACAAAGGATTTTTTGTTTCCCAAACTCATGGGTAATAAAATAGCATCTTAAAATTATTCTCAATGCTCAAACCAATAAACAATGCTTACATTCACCTAAAGCAACTGATAACCAAGATTTTGGTTGAAACCTCACCTGTGGAGGAAAAAGTACTCCATTCAGACCTCAAGATCCCAGCACTTCCCTCTTAAGCTCTTAAGTATTAAAAAAAGCTAAAGGAGGTTGAGCGAGAGCGCTTTAGCCATAAACCCTCCCACATGTCTTGCATGAAAATTCTAGGCATTAATACAACTCCCATATGTACTTATTTACAACAGGTCATGAAACTGCTGCTGTTCCAACCTTCAAGGAGGATTTTAGAAATGAGTGTAGCTATCAAGGGATTGTCCTAAACACTACCGGATCCAGGATTGAATTTTTAGGGACGGAGGAGGGCTTCAGCCCGAAAGGTTTTTTTTTTTATATATAATGAAAGAAAGTAAATTTTACTATGGAACATTTAGTCCCCTCAGAATAATTACAATGAACAGAGAATTGACAATTGTCTGGCGATTGTGAATAATTAAATGACAATTAAAACTAAATTAATTTACAAAGGTGTCCAATCTTAATATTAAAATAAAGAAGCATGTAAATTTTTCATAATATTAAAAATAAAGACAGTGTAGTAAACATATGATCTTGATTTAAAGATGATTACATACGGGTGAGTTCATCTATTTGTACAAATGAGCAATATGACACATACATAGATATCTGTAAGATATCGGTACAGTGTAACTGATATCTCTAAAGTACAATATGACTTTATTTTACAATTGACTTTATTATGATGTAGAGATGGTTGACCATGATATAATATGAGAAGGAGTTGATCGGGGGGTGCGGTCAAAAAAATACTAAATTATACGAATAGTATTATTTAATTTTTTTGCTAACGTTTGGACCCACTTTGCAGGTCTTCATCAGGGCTACAAAAGATACAAAATATAAAAGGTACATGGTGAAAATAAAATAAATGAATATAAGTAAATATAAAATAAGAAGCAGTTGTCTGATAAAGAAATAAAAAGATGATATCAGAGATATAATGGGTGACAATGTAATTAGAATATCAAGTATTATATATATATAGAAGATACAAACAAAAATAGAAAATAAGTATGAATAAAAATAGAAAACAAACTAGAATATAGAAATATAGAAATATTCTAGTTTGTTTTCTATTTTTATTCATACTTATTTTCTATTTTTTTTGTATCTTCTATATATATTTTAACTTCATTGTTACCTACTATGTCTCTGATATCATCTTTTTATTTCTTTATCAGACAACTCCTTCTTATTTTATATCTACTTATATTTATATATTTTATTTTCACCATGTATCTTTTATATTTTGTATCTTTTGTAGCCCTGATGAAGACCTGCAAAGTGGGTCAAAACGTCAGCAAAAAAATTAAATAATACTATTTGTATAATTTAGTATATATTTGACCGCACCCTCCGATCAACTCCTTTTCAAATTGACTTTATTGTATACATATATTCGAAAGATTGATTACTGAGGAGACGGAAAAATAAATTATGTTTAAATGAGGTCAGGAATGAGAGTTTCCGTAAATAGGTTGGTAGGAAATTCCAAAACGAAGTGGAACTAACTGTTAGTGGAACTAACTGGGGAGCAGACAGAACTACCATGATTAAAGTATACCAAGCTCTGATCGGCGCAAAAATAGATTATGGTAGTTTTGTCTACGGTTCTTCCCGAAAAAATGCTCTAGCCAAGCTCGACTCCGTGCACCACACTGGAATACGCCTTGCAACTGGAGCCTTTAGAACAAGCCCAACCCTGAGCATTTGTGTCGAATCTGGCCTTATACCACTGCACTTTAGAAGACAGAAACTTGCAATAAACTATATTACTAAATTATACCCGCAAACTTCACACCCCTCCCATAAATATGTTTTTCAATCTAAATTTTCAAAAAGATTTAAAGAAAAAAGGAATACCACATTACCATTGGCAGAAAGAATGTCTCTTATTATAAATAAACTAAAACAAATAACATTACATGAAATAGAAAAAGAAACAGCCCCTTGGACCTATATACAACCTAAATTAAATCTCCAACTCACCCAATTCACCAAAGATACTACATTACCTGCAGATTACAAAGAAAAATTCCACAAAATAATCATCACGTTACCTGAACATCTTCTAATATTCACCGACGGATCCAAATCAGATACATCTACTGCTTCAGCCTTTGTCACTCCTGATACTACCTACAAATATAAATTACACCATCTTTGTAGTGTTTACACAGCAGAGATTAACGCCGTAGCAATGAGTCTCCGATACGTCATGAAGAAGCCAGTTGCAAATGTGGTTGTTGTATCGGATTCCCTAAGTACTCTGAAAGCTATGAATAACATGTATCCAGACCATCCAGGGATACACTACATTCTAAGTCTTATAAAAATGCTTCATGGAGTTGGAACAACGGCACATTTTATCTGGTCGCCTGGCCATATAGGAATTAAAGGAAATGAAATGGCTGATAGAGCAGCAAAGGAGGCTCTTACTCTTCCAGGCCGCGGTAAAGTTTTTTTGACACCATCTGAACTTGCACGACCTCTGAGAGAAACCATATTCCAAGAATGGCAAAGACGGTGGGACAACAGCGCACCTAGCAAATTAAAAACAATAAAGAAA